GACACTTAATTGAGACCAACTGTCATCACACTGTCTTCATGGAATCAGAGAATAAGCCAGAGTGTTTGGGGCTGGTTTATAAACTCTAAAGTACCAGGCACATGGAGAAGTAAGTTCAGGTCAGCAGCAGCTTTTCTTTGTGGTCGTTTGATCATTTTAAAGGAATTACGGCATGCCACACGTGTGAGCTTTGAGGGATCCAACAGGGACAGGAAGCTCCAGTCTGGTGTGATTTCTGTCCCTCAGTGCCCATCCAAGTCTGCTCCTCTTCTCCTCTGTTTCCTTGCTAGAGAGCCATGCTTAGGGTTCTGTCACTGGGCTCTGTGTTACCAGAGTCTCATCACTCTTGAATTCTTAAGACTGCTTCTAGTTGTATCTACTACTACTGATAATGTTGATTGTGGTGACTCTGTAGCCTCTGTCATTTCTCTATGACAATAGACAAAGGTGGTTCTTCAGGCTCAGTTTTCGTCCTGGTTCAAACCTTGCCTCCCGTCACTAGTCTGTATACCCAGGCCTTCTGCCTTCATCGACTGTCCCAGTCTTCTCTCATGTGACAAGGACTAGACCGAGTACCTACTCTGAATTTACACATTGAAGGCCTCAGCCTGGAAAACCTGCCTCATCCTTTAGCTCTTTTATCCTTCCAGACTTAGTTCTGTCATTGACTACGAAGACTTGAACTCCTAAGGAGAGTTAGCTCCTGTAATCGTGATGACTATTCACATTGTGGGGTGGTCTGTATGCTGTTTTGTTTGCATGTGTTGTGTCTTATTCTGTGGTCTTTTGAAGGCCTAGGGCTATGACATTGAAGATAATGAAGCATCCTTCCTAGGAAGGTACAGTGGGTTGAATAGGAGCCCCCATAGGGTATGTCCACGTCCGTCCTAATCTCCAACCCTGGAAAAGTGACCCTACTTGGAAAGACAATCTTTTTGTTGGGATTTTGCAAATAATTCTACTATAGTAGTTTGTTAGAACTGCTGTGATAAACTAAATAGAAGGTTAAGACTGATATCTGTGAATCAGTTACTGTTCTTATCACTGACCAAAATACCTGAAAGAAATCAGATAAGGGAGCAAAGCCTTATTTTGGCTCATGGTCTCAGAGGATTTCAGGCCATTATAGTGAGGAAAGCATGGCTTGAACAGATGGTGGGGCTCCTCATGTCACCCAGGCATACAGAATGCTGAGAATTTGGGCCAGATGCAAACAGAACTGTCACAGGTTCTCCCACAGCGAACCACCTACCAGTGGTTCTACAACTTCCTTAAACTCTCAGGAGTTAGGGGCCAACAGGAGCCTATGGGGACGGGTCAGATTTCGGCTGAACACCTAACACCATGTATTCACCATTCATGCTTCACTATTATTCTGATAACCTGTCCTGGGCCTGGGGAGCAGTGTGTGCTCAGGAATGTGGAAAGAAACACAGTTATTGCCCGTGACTTCTCAGTCCAGTGGTGCTGGTCAGTGCTGATAGGGGTTGCCCTTGAAATATGCTGACAAAAGCCTCCAAGATACAGTCTCTCTTAGCTTTAAAAGATGTCTTTATTAGTGTGGCTGTTTTGCTGGCTTGTATGTCTACACTGCTTGCTTACAGTGCTCTTGAAGGTCAAAAGAGAATGTTATATACCTGGATTAGGAGTCACAGACATGTGAGCTACCTTGTGGGTTCTGGGAATTGAACCTAGTCCTCTGAATGATCCACTGGTTCTCTCAATTGCTGCGCCATCTCTCCAGCCCCAAAATATTTATTTTTAATTACATGTGTGTGGGTATGTGCCAGTGAGTGCAGGTGCCCACCAAAGCCGGCAGAGGGCATCAGAGCCCCTGTAGCTGAAATTGCAGTAGTAATGAACTACCTGATACGGGTGTTAGGAAGCAAACTTGGATCCTTGTATGAGCAGAATGTGATCTTAACCACTGAGTCCTCTTTCTAGCCCCTACATTTTTTTGCTTTTTTTTAAAGTATGTAAAAGGTAGTGATGGATGTTTAATGTTTTATTTCTTTACACACACACACACACACACACACACACACATACACAAATGTGTCCTTTTATCAGGATATTTTCTGTGAGGGTATGTCCTTTAGAAAAGTCAGAAGCTACACACATGAAGTCTCACCAATACGACTGCCTAAACATAAGCTGAGCAAAACAGCAGTAGACATGCTGAAGTGGAGAGGGGAAGCCCACAAGGTCTTACCACATACCAAGAACTACAGGCAACTAAGGAATGCTGAGAGTGGGAGACATAGTCTTCCCCAGGGAAGAGCACAGCAGTGGGGACGAATACCAGAAGGTCAGCCCTGAGAACATACATCCAAGTAACAACATACAGACTGAGCACGTTATACTTAGGAATGAATGAATACATACATAGATATGTATATACATACGCATATACATCATACATACACACATACATACATGCCCATGCATTTGAAAGAGAACAAGGAGGAGTATATGAGAGGTTTTGCAGTGAGGAAAGGGAAGGGGAAATTATGTCATACTATAATTTCAACAATAAATTGTCCTTTTAGAATAAGACTAATTTTACCTAAATAGAAGTTAGAATACTTTTGTATTAGTCATGATTCTATAGAATAATAGAACTTATAGAACAAATGGGATAATAAATGTTATGATTTATTAGAATGGCATAGCTAATCCAACAATGGTTCCCTGTGAACAGAAGGTCCAAGAATCCGATAGTTCAGTCCATGAAGCTGGATGGCTCTGCTGGTCTTCAGTATACACTGGAGTCCTGAAGAAGTAGGCTCCGATGCCAGTGAAGGAACAGACGTACTAGGGAGGTGAGAGCCAGCTGGCAGAGGAGGAGAGAGCATCCTTCTTCCTATCCTTTATACAGGCTGCCAGCAGAAGGCGTGGCGCAGACTAGAGGTGGGTCTTCCCACCTCAAAAGTCTGGGCCAAATGCTCATCTTCCCACTTCAGATGGTTGAATTAAGAAAAATCCCTCACAGGTGTGCTCAGTCATTGGCATTTTAGTCAATTCCAGATGTAGTCAAGTTGACAGCCAAAAATAGCCATCACAACCTTCCCCAAAACAGAGAAAAGTAGTGTTGCCTTGAAGAAAAATGAGAGCAGCTCTAACTCTATGTGCCTATTAGAATGTTTATTATTAACTGAAATAAATTTCATGTCCATTGGCCTTAAAGTATCATTAGAAAAAGTACTTTGGAGCAATATAGTAACGATGTGCCACAGGGTATAGGGAAACCAACATTTACAAACAACGCAAACTCCAAACGGGGCAGGTTACACCTGTCTGCAACTCCTGGCTTACCGGGAAGGTGGTGTGTGAGCATCACAGGGCTTACCAACTGAGACAGTGACAGCAAAGACTGAGGCCGACTGCTCCAGCCTTTCACAGGACCCAAGCCATTTAACCCTTACAACCCCCGCTCTCACCTATTTTACTCCAGAGGAAATTGAAGCTCAGAATGGTGAAGTGACTTGCTCAAAGTCGTGACAGCAACAGTGAGCGGCCATGGCTCATAACTTTGTCCCATTCTGACTGAACACGCATCAGCTTTCTTTGATATAATGGGAAGTTGTGTTGAAATGCTCAGTAAATCTAGAAAGACCCTTTACCTAGTCCTGTGGAGGTTCAGACCTTAGGATGCTCACCTCCGAGGCTGGGGCGGGGCTGGGGCGGGGCTGGGAAGAGGCGTTCTCAAGAGGCGCCAGGTGCTTCTGACCTTTGAGATACACTGGTCTGGTCGCTACACGGCCTACGCGGTTTACTTCACATTAAGGCTTATTGTTGTTGATTGTGCACGTAAGCCAGATTATTCAGGGAGTCTGAGTACGGGCACACACCTAACTTGTACCTCAAGTGCTGCACTCCTAATCACTCTCCTTATGTGGAGAATGAGTAGGAGGGCAGCAGCAGAGGGAATCTTCTGAAGGAATCTTTTGTGCATGCCTCAGAATCTGGTATGTTGACCTGAAGAAATCATTAAGATGAATACAAGAAAAAAATGGCAGAAAATAGCTACTCTAATGAGGATTTGTAAATTGTGTTTTTACATTTGTTATTTGTTATTATTATTGCTATTATTATTGTGTGTGTACACACACTCATGTTCATGCCATAGCATGTATGCAGAGGTAGGAACTTTTGGAAGTCAGTTCCTTCCGTTGTGGGTCCCAGGGATAGAACGCAGGGTGCTAGGTTTATGCAGCAAGCCTGTTTAACATGGTCTTGTGTTAGTTTTATTTATAGGGCAATTTTAATGTAAATTCTATCTTACAATAAAGTAGTTTCATGTTATTCTGAATTATTTTGGGTTATTCTAACTGTGGCCAAGGAAGGAGGCCTTTCCTAAACGTTAGTGTCCTAGTTAGGTTTCTGCGGTGGTAAAACAACCATGACTTAGCAACTTAGGGAGGAGGTTTATTTGGCTCACAGGTTAAGAGTTGGTCATCAAGGGAAGTCAGAGTAGAACCTAGGCCAGTAGCTGGAATGGAGCAGAGGCCGTGGACAGCACTGCTTCCCGGTTTCCTTGGTCTTCGGCCTGGATGTCTGGAGCTAGAGTCCTGGGGGATTCCTGGAGAGTTGCTGGTCTGCAGTCGGATTAAGCCCCGAAGAAGCTGGTTCTAATACTGGCAAAGTATAGCAGCAGGTGTGGTGAACTTGCCAGTGAGAGTGAGGGCAGACAGTCAGAAGCAAAGCTTCCTTTTTCCACGTCTATGTGAGCTGCCACCAGGAAGTGTGGCCCGGATTTAGGGTGGGTCTTCCAGCTTCTAATGAACGGATTAGTAAATCTCTCACAGGCATGTCCCACAGCCTGGGTTTTTGTTGATTCCAACTGTCGTTAAGCTGACATCCAAAATTAGTTATCACATACATTATTGAGAACCCTGATTATTCATGTCTTAGAATGAAGGAGAAACAGTAGTCATTTTTGCTACTTCAATGTTTTAATTGTCTGTTGGACTCAAAACTATTTTTTTTCTTCCTTCTAGGGAGTTGGTAAATCACACTGTCAGAAAGTAGCCAGTTACAAACAAAATGAGTATTCCGGCTCTGCTGCTGCATCCTTACCAGTGGTTACTAAACAGCCTGAGGGTGCCTTCCCGGCGGCTTCACAGCATCCTTCACTCAGGGCGACACCCCGCACCCCGAGCCCCACGTGCTGCACTGTGGAAGCCCTCTGGACACCATTGTACTAAGTGGATGCTGCTGTCCGGTGGCCGGAGGAATGCGTTATGTATCCAGGCGACCTTGAGGGACCACACAGAAGGACTTTCTGATAAAGAACAAAGATTTGTGGATAAGCTTTATACGGGTTTGGTCAGCGGGCAAAGAGCTTGCTTAGCGGAGGCCATCACTCTGGTGGAGTCCACTCACTCTCGGAAGAAAGAACTGGCTCAGGTTCTTCTTCAGAGAGTCCTAGTCCACCGCCGAGAGCAGGAGCGGCTCAACCAAGGAAAGCCCCTCACGTTTCGAGTAGGTCGGTTTTCTTTTTCTGTTGTTTAGGGAAGCCAGGTGGAAATTTCTTTCCTTGAACATTCGGATACCTGTTCCTACTTTTCACATTCCTTCCTCTGCCCTCAAGGAGGGACTCTCATTGTGAGGGTACTGCGCTGGGTCTTGATAGTCTATGTGTTGTAGACAGAATAGCACACCCCCAAGGAGAAAACCCAGCATGTCAAAGTGCCTACTTACAGTAGGCCTTGAAGAGAGAAAAATGCCAATGTTTGCTTGGCAGGCCACACACACCTTCTCAGGGCCTTCTGGGTATTCTACTCTGACTGTAGTCCTGATAACCTCAAGTCTCCAGGTATTTTATCATCATCATAAATAAAAGCAAAGAGTCTACTCAGCACCTGTAAAGGCTCTTGAATTGGAAGCCTGCCACGAACGTAGCAAGGACCTAAGCCTGCCTGCCGTACACTGTGTGCACTCTTGAAGGCCGTTGAATGCCCATGTGTAGGTGCCTCTCATGCCATGCCGTGTATGTGACACACGTATTCTGTGTTATCCCACGCAGGGCTGTGCAGCACCGTGTAGACCACAGAGCAGGTCAGAAGCAGCACCGGGTTGAGCCCCGCTGACAGCTCAGGGTCTGCCCTCACCTGCCATGCCTGACGGGCTCCACATAGGGGCTTTCCTGCCTTTCTGAACACCAAGATTTTTTTTTTCAGATTTTCTTTTATTGGATATTTCCTTTAAGTTCTGAGTGAACAGAGGGAAAATGTTTGAGGAGAAAATTACCTTCTCCCTCACTAGCAGTTTCTGGGGGTAATGGATTATTTTCCAGTGGTCAGAGTGGCATAGATGGGTGGGTGGCATAGATGCCCCCTGTGATGAGAGAGGGCAGGTGCACACATTCTGCACACTGAAACTCAAGCAATGAAGTGTGTCCCAGCAGACTTGCCTTACAGGGGAGAGGCAGAGCTTCTCTGACTGCGGAAAGTGAGCTTGGTAAACATGGACTTCGGAAGTTTTTTCCTTTCGGTCTCACTGCTACTCGGGAATTAGATAAAGAGATGGATTTTCCACTGACTTCTTTAAGGCATGTTAAAATATGTCAGTGATGATTTTCATAAATTAGAGGAAACAGAAGGTAAGCTAATGTTTTATTCATCGAAACTAGTCATGGTCTGACTTCATTATCTCACTGTAGGACTGTCTGGGCCCCCTGGCGCAGGGAAATCAACCTTTATAGAATACTTTGGGAAAATGCTGACTGACAGAGGGCACAGACTGTCTGTGCTAGCCGTGGACCCGTCCTCATGCACCAGTGGTGGTGAGTATGGCTGACGTTTTTAACCGCACAGCTAGGGGGCTGCCACAGGTTAGTGAGAATTGGCAGGTAGGTGGCCTCTGACTGCCAGCTGACTTTGACCCCAGGAAAGGAACCATTTCTGTTCAGCCAAGTGAGGTAGTGTTGGCTATTCATGCCAGTTGGGAGGCAGGGATGGCTTTCTTATTAGGGCTGCTAGAGTAGTCTTGGAGTGGAGACCTCCAGCTTCCAAACTCTACTCCTAGACTATTCTGGTTGCCAGGCCTGACTCCTCCCCAGCCTGAGGAGCTCCGATAGCTAGGTCCCACCCCCAGACTTCTCTGACAGCCCTATTGGCTGTAAAGGCTGTTTCTCACCCCTCACCCCTGCTTGCTGACCAGGCCTACAGAAAAAAAAAATCCCACCAACCCCTGATCTTGCTCCAAGATCAGGCCATAACCCCTCCAATAACAGGGAACCAAGAAAGCTCCCTGTCCCCCAGACACTATATAAATCCTGTCTTCTGCTCAGTTCTCTGCTGTCTCTCCCTGAGGTTTCTCCCTCCTAAGAAATCTCTTGTGTGAGGTTTGTTGTGTCCTGTGACTGTGACTCTTGACTCCCCACTTCCGGGATACCTTTCCTATCTGACTGTGACACAGGTGGAAACTACGAGAGTTACTGGGAATGCTGAATTCTACAGAGGAGGACAGCTTGTGGATAGCTCAAGGATACGCAAGTAGGGTCGGAGGTGCTAGAAGTTAGGGCTGATCAGACGGCACACATCTCAGCCCCTTGGTGATTTTCCCAGGACCACTCACTCCTCACAGTCTGTTTTCCCAGTGGGTCTTACTTCTCAGTTTATCTTCATCGTGTTGTAGCATCTCTTCAGTTAAGCTTGATAACAAACATAAGTTGTTTGTAGCGTGTCACAGTGAAACAGAAAGCTCTTGAAGGGCCATGTACTGTTCTGCTATTCCCCTGTAGTACTCTGTAGATCACACCGCACTCACGGAGTTCACAGCTCTCTGTAGAGCACACCACAGTCACGGTGTTACAGCTCTCTATAGAGCACACCACATTCACGGTGTTACAGCTCTCTGTAGAGCACACCACAGTCACGGTGTTACAGCTCTCTGTAGAGCACACCACAGTCACGGTGTTACAGCTCTCTGTAGAGCACACCACAGTCACGGTGTTACAGCTCTCTGTAGAGCACACCACAGTCACGGTGTTACAGCTCTCTGTAGAGCACACCACAGTCACGGTGTTACAGCTCTCTGTAGAGCACACCACAGTCATGGTGTTACAGCTCTCTGTAGATCACACCACACTCATGGAGTTCACAGCTCTCTGTAGAGCACACCATAGTCACGGTGTTACAGCTCTCTATAGAGCACACCACAGTCACGGTGTTACAGCTCTCTGTAGATCACACCACACTCATGGAGTTCACAGCTCTCTGTAGATCACACCACAGTCACGGTGTTACAGCTCTCTGTAGAGCACACCACAGTCACGGTGTTACAGCTCTCTGTAGAGCACACCACATTCACGGTGTTACAGCTCTCTGTAGAGCACACCACATTCACGGTGTTACAGCTCTCTGTAGAGCACACCACAGTCATGGTGTTACAGCTCTCTGTAGATCACACCATAGTCACGGTGTTACAGCTCTCTGTAGAGCACACCACATTCACGGTGTTACAGCTCTCTGTAGAGCACACCACAGTCATGGTGTTACAGCTCTCTGTAGATCACACCATAGTCACGGTGTTACAGCTCTCTGTAGAGCACACCACATTCACGGTGTTACAGCTCTCTGTAGAGCACACCACATTCACGGTGTTACAGCTCTCTGTAGAGCACACCATAGTCACGGTGTTACAGCTCTCTGTAGAGCACACCATAGTCACGGTGTTACAGGTCTCTGTAGATCACACCACACTCATGGAGTTCACAGCTCTCTGTAGAGCACACCACATTCACGGTGTTACAGCTCTCTGTAGAGCACACCACAGTCACGGTGTTACAGCTCTCTGTAGATCACACCACACTCATGGAGTTCACAGCTCTCTGTAGAGCACACCACAGTCACGGTGTTACAGCTCTCTGTAGAGCACACCACAGTCACGGTGTTACAGCTCTCTGTAGAGCACACCACAGTCACGGTGTTACAGCTCTCTGTAGAGCACACCCCACTCACGGAGTTCACAGCTCTCTGTAGAGCATACCACACTCACAGGGTTTGGCAATTACTTATTAATGTGAGGTCATGCAATTACTCAGCATTTAATTTGCAGCTTATCAGAGATAAAATGAATATAAACTTGGCTCCCTAAGGACCATTTAAACAAAACATGTAAAGATTTTGCTATAAATGCTCAGGAAACATTACCCCCTTCTTCTCTTTGTGGGCTAAGCTGCTCAGATTACAGTTATCTACTGAATGGGTGTGGACATGCCTCCTGTAGAAGGGGCACCTGCACAGCACGGATCTTGCTGCAGGTTGGATGATGTTTTAGGAGTGAGTCACACTGGGCTGTGGTCTCTGAGGGGTAAATACTAGGCGCTTAGTGAAAGCACTTGGTTTGTACACTCTGGTATTCTGCCAGAAATAATAGTTGAAAGACCTTAGGTCAGTAGAGAAGTAGATAACACTTCTTGATACCCTTTACTGAGAAATATGGCTGGCTCTGAGCATTCAAAGGATTTGATTCACTATAATAGAAAGTTTAGCTGTAAATGAAATTATACTCAAGTTCCAAGATTAAATTTATGTCAATTTGTTGTCAGGTTTATTTACTGTTTAAGAGCTTGGCTCGGTGAAAATTTATGAAGTGTGTTAATGAAGGGCTTTCACAAGTAATCCTAATTTTTATTCAAGTGAGAAGGCCACTTTCTCTCCACCTTCATGGTCTAGATTATTTGACACAGAAAAAGAAAGCAATAGCTTGAAATAGTAATTAATAGCAGAACTGATGTTACATCCTATGGTAAAAGTATATAGCCATGTAGCTCCTAACCTTTATTTTCTATGTGTATGTCTGTAGTTCTGTGTGTGAAAGTCAGAGGACAGCTTTGGGTCTGCCCATCGTGTCTTTTGAGACAGAATCTCTCACTCTCTCAGAGCCCACCAAGTAGGCGATGTTGACTGGTCATTAGGCTCCAGTAATTAATTCCCTCTGTCCCTGTCTTTCCAGTGCCAGGATAATAAGCACGTGCTACCAGGCCCAATTTTATTACATAGTTCTTAGGGCCAGACTAATTTCCACATCCAAGACAAGTGCTCCACTGACTAAGCTGTGGTTCTTACCCACAGTCAAACTGAAAGTGAGGAGTCCTAAAAAAGTGTGTAATTCCAAAGAAAAAATACAGTAGGTAAATAGAATATTATAAATATAATTCCTGCTCTATGTAAGTATAAATATAATTGGAAAATAGCACTGAACTGAAGTTTAAGCAGCACTAATTCCTTTGTCTGTCCTTGTGCTTGTGATTCATAACCCTTCCTGTGATGGCCTTGAGGTCACCCTGGGGTCTGACAGTGTGGTGGGTGCACCAGCCAGAAGGCCCTGCGGAAGAGCAGGTCACAGCGCTGTGTTCAGGGTGCTGGCTCCGTAGGCTAACAGTGTAGCTGTGATAGGTTGTCTCCTACATGGGTGATTCAGGCAGAAAAGGAGGCAGGGAAAGTCTGATGTGAAGTGAGAGGGTGTTTGAGGTGCATGAGGGCACGTGCTCTACAATCAGAGCCTGTGAGAAGGGACAGGAGAGGACCGGGCACTCCTCGAACGCCCTCAGTCTTTCCTGCTCTTATGCTGGAGTGGAAACATACAGGTGAGAATATCGCCACTCCTCATAGGCCGTTCGTTATATGGCAAAAAGAAATTGGCGAGCTGGAGGGATGGCCCAGCGGTTGAGAGCACTGACTGCTCTTGCAGAGGACTTGAGTTCAGTTCCCAGCACCCACACTGGGTAGCTCACAACCGCCTGTAACTCTAGTTCAGGGGATGCGATGCCAGCACCTCCAGCCTTCAAGGGCGCCTGATTCATGCACACATCCTTATGCGTGGATATGCACACACATACACAGAATTAAAAATAACAAAAATAAACATAATTTTAATTTAAAAAATGTAGGAGAAGGTAATAGTGGTTCCAGGGCCTTAATTGTTTCAGAATTTGCAAGTATTGATGTTTGCTCAAATACTACAATTACTTCAAAAGAGTAATCAATCTGTTCCCTGGGCATCAACTGAATGCTTATAATGCCTTTGTTTAGCATTCAGGGTACTGCAGCTTTATGGTGAGCTTCGTAGACGAGGAACTTGTGCAGGTTTTCACAACCTTGGCACTGGTAACATTTGGTGACACTGGTGGCAGTTGTTTGGTGGTGGTGGCAACTCATTGTATGTGGTGACTGTCCTATAAACTGAGGTTTGCTTAGCAGGATTCCACCCTTTATCCAGGAGGTGCCAACCGCATCCTGTCCCCATTCGTGACAAGTGAAGATGTCTCTAGAGATGGCAGATTTCCTGCAGAGGTGGGAATTGACCCTGGTTAGAGAACAGTCACCTGAAAGATAAGACAGATGGTTATGGACTCCAGGATGTGGGCTCGGCTACTTTCTATCTTCTCACTGTACCCACTTCCTCTAACTGAAGACTCCAAATTGCCTAGCTTCAGGAGAGGGGTTTAGAAAGAACAGACTGGGACTAAAGGTAATTTCAGTACATAGTTTCATAGTATTTGCATAAAGCTGATAAAATGTTATTTGTACCAATAAGAGAACAGGGGCTGGAGGCTCTTCTTGGAAATAAGGTAAAGGGGAGGGTCACTCAAGCTTTCTTATGTCCTCCAGGATGCCGGGAGAGTGCAGAGCAGTCACTATACTGTAGAGCTTTACAGCAAAGGACACGTCGTGAAAAAGTTCTCGAAAGGCCATCTGAAGGAAACAGGTCTTCAGTGTGTCTCAGATAGACAGGGTCTGCTTTGTTAACGGTTCTGAAGCACACGTTCCATTCCTGCATAATCTCATTTGAGTCTCACCATGTCTTATTGTCCCATTTATGAGGAGAGGTGGAGTTCAGGGGAATGAAAATAACATCCCCAAATGAGGTGGCCAGGGACAGGAGATCTAGGACCCTCATTTGACCACTTGTAAATTAATGACAAGAGGGCATTGTAGATGCTCTGATGGACCCCAGCAAAGAGGCAGTCACACCAATGTGGAGAGAAGAGACCACACTGCTGGGCCAGAGGGTTGGCTTGGTCCTGAGAGACTGGCTTTGCTCAAAGAAGGTAAAGAAGGGTTAGTACTCGGGGAGCTTGGGGGCTTATATGTGAACCTCCAGTCAGTTTGGGGGCCTTGTTGGTTTTCAGGAGCTTGGAATGATGCAACGGTTACTCTGCTGTGGGGTAGACAGTGAGCTGGAGGAGAACTCAGTAACGGTGAAAATATTGGGAAGAGCTGTCCTCAGTCAGGTCCCCTTGCCGTTGGCTGCCTGGTAATTAGTCCTCACAACTCTTCATGATTGTAAGATGTAACTATGTGTTTTAGGATCCCTCTTAGGTGATAAAACTCGGATGATTGAGCTATCAAGAGATATGAATGCATACATCAGGCCGTCTCCAACCAGTGGGACTTTAGGAGGTGTGACAAGGACCACAAATGAAGCCATTCTGCTGTGTGAAGGAGGGGGTTATGACGTCATTCTTATTGAAACTGTCGGTGAGTGTGACAGTCTGCTTCATAAAAGCAGCGGACCATTATAGTGAATGCTACTTAAAGATGCATAACAACCCATTTCACTTATTTTTATTCAGCAGATATGAAGTGGAATTAAATACAAGGTATTTATTGCCCTGCAGGCAATGTGAGTACATGGGCTGCGCTCCCCGCCCGCAGGAGCCTTCCATACAGACGGTGGCAGTGACCCACGTGTCTCCATGGTCTGTGTGCAGAGGACAGGAAGGACAGGAAGGACTAGAGTGACCTTTGCAAGCCAGTCACAGCCCTGCTTAAGCACACTTGATGTCAGAGTGTTCACTCAGAGTCTGGGCAGCTGGGACTTGGGCTCCGAGGCTGTCTGTTCCGTCCCAGCACATCCCTCTGAGGGAAAGACCCAGCACTCACGTCCCTATGGGCTACTCTGAATGTGTGTGACACACCCAAACCAGTGCCTGGGCAGCCAGTGAGAGGGAGGGAAGTGGGTGTGAACAGTGCAGGGCTCACTGGGCAGACCCAGAGGAAGTGCGGCTCGCTCAGGCCTCTCAACTCTGAGGCAGAGGAGCACAGAGCAGCGGCCAGACCAGGCTTTCCTCATGCATCCTGCCAAAGAGCTTTCCTTTCTCTGGAGGAGTGGGGATGAGAACAAGGTGAGCCATGTTCGTTCACGCTTGGAGGGAGCCTGCAGCTGACTGAGAAGTGGTTAGAAGGTTGGGAGGAGTGTGAAGCAGTTAGACCACGGTGTCAATCAGAGAAGGAAATGCAGGTCTACCTCAGGTAAGCAGGGCTAGAGAAGAGGACATGATCAAAGGCCTTTATTGTTGATTGAATGTAAGAGACGAAGGAAGGAGGGTTGTAGCAACAGAGAACACCGCGGACAAGAGGGAGAGGAATGAGGTCAGGTGTCGGTACGTTACTGGACACATTTACTAGAGGAATATGAGGTCAGGTGTCGGTACGTTACTGGACACATTTACTAGAGGAATATGAGGTCAGGTGTCGGTAGGTTACTGGACACATTTACTAGGTGTCCAAGTGGGGGGTTTTAGGAAGCCTGGTCAGTGCATACAGACCTAACAGTTACCAGCAGGGCTTATGGTTTTGCACTAAGTTATACATTTGGTTTAGGTTAAATGAAGGAGAATAGGGGATAATATTGTCATAAATATGGGCTACATGGCTTAGACCGTAGACATCCCCGCTTAGAATTGGGGAGCTGGAAATGCGGGTGGAGGCACCAGCAGGATGGGTCTCTGCACCTCTTCCCTTTTGCAGGGGGCTGCCTCCATGCTGTGTCCCCATGGGGCACGTCTCCGGCATGGGCACGAGCACCCGGCGCCTCCGCTCCCTCCCTCCCGGGCACCTGTCCTCATGACCTCACTTAACTCCTTAGAGCCCGTGCCCATCTGCAGTCACGCTGAGGGCTGCCATGTGACCTGAGGGTCGACAGGCCTAATTCAGTTCCCAGCAGTAGTCAGAACCAGCCGTAGATGTCCACCTTTTACGTGTGAGTAGAGAGGGCAATATGAAAGCCAGACTTGTTCTCGGGGAGTTGCAGTTGGCTGCTTGTCCTAGAGACTGGCAATGACTCAGGGAAAAGGCCTTTGCTGTCTTGAAGAAGCCCTGGGGGCGGGGCGGGGGCGGGGCGGGGGTTCAGAGCGGTTGCAGTTCTGTTCCTGCAGTCTCCCACGCTGCTTCTGGTGTCCCTCTCCATCCTTCACACTTAGCTCCCGTCCTCGAGGTTGCTCAAGACTGAAAGGTGGGGAGGAAGCTCTGACAGAGAGAGAGGGAACAGGAACTAGAGAGCAGGCACACAGGAGGAGCCCCAGCTGAGCGCCTTCCTGGAGACCTCACCTGGGAGCTCCATCTGTTGGCCTTTACCTGCCTGAGGGACCTGACCTGCTCCCTGGCGTCCCGGGGAGAGAGGAAATGGACGAGCAGAACTGGGAGTCTGGATGTGGTCAGGACAGACAGTGAGGGTTTCCAGAGAGAGAGCGAGAAGCACGGTGTGGCGGGGGAAGCTGTGAGTGTCTGCCCCTGTTTTGGTGTTAAGGAGCGGGTTCAGGAGGTGGATGGGGTGGGTCCTCCAGCAGAGCTGCACTGGGGGCGGCTGGCTGAGGCCAGGACAGGGAGGAGCTAGGATGTGCTTCCTCTGTCTCCTCCACGAGCGTCCACACAGCGAGAACAGAAGACGGAAGCCCACTCAATAGATTTAGGAGATGCCGTTTTTAATGTTTAAGTTCTGCCTGCGTGTATGGCTGTGCCTACACATGTGTCCCTGGTCCCCACAGCGGCCAGAAGAGGGCGTTAGATCCTTTGGAAGTGCAGTTGTGAGCCACTAGGTGGTGTTAAGAACCAAGCCAGGCCCTCTGCAGAAGCATCAAGGACTCTTAACCCCGGAGCTCTCGGCGGCCCCCGGGAGCCTGGCTCTCTGTGAGGCCCTTCAGTGGCACTTGGCCACAATTGAGAGGTCGCTCCAGCATGCTTACAGAAGAGAGAATCGGGGTATGCAGACTGGGAATAAGGACGAAAGGGTAAAAAGAGATGAAAATGTTGGCAGACAGGTTTCACAGTAGCATCCTGGTGTCAGGCCACTCACTGATGAAAGAGAGGCTAAGAGAGCTTAAGAGTAGGAGAGAATGGAAGCCTATAAGGCAGCGACTCTCAGCCTTCCTAATGCTGCGGCCCTTTAACATAGTTCCTCATGTGTGACCCCAATCATAAAATTATTTCGTTGCTACTTCATAACTGTAGTTTTGTTACCATTATGAATTGTAATGTAAACATCTCTGTTTTCCCATGGTCCTAGGAGACTCCTTGTTAAATTGTAATGTAAACATCTCTGTTTTCCCATGGTCCTAGGAGACTCCTTGTTAAAGGGTCATTTGAGTTCCAGAGGGGTCACAGCCCACACATTGAGCACCTCTTCTGTAAAGTCTTCATTGGTGTGGTTAGAAAAGAACTGTGTTAGAGGGTTGCAGCATTAGGAAGGGTGCACTGGCAGATTAATCCAGACTCATGCAGTAGTGTTTGAAGCAGTTAGGCTTAGATAGGGCACCGAACGTGCGGCCCCGTGACGGTGTCTGCGGCTTTCCAAGCAGAGGAGAGACGCTTGCATCAGCGTGCTTGCTGTCTTTCCAAGTGATGCCGTCTGTGTGGACTCTGCCTCTGAGCAAGTAACTTTCTATCTATGTCAAGTCCGGGGTGTTTAGTTACAGCAACAGGTCATAAAGGTGGATGTGTGGTCAAGATGAGGGGTTGAATGAAGTAGAGTGGAAATGAGGCGGCAAACGACACCAGAAATGCTGTCGCTGACCATCTTAAAGTTGTTGTTTGAAATTGCAGGTGTGGGGCAGTCGGAGTTTGCTGTTGCTGATATGGTTGATATGTTTGTTTTATTGCTGCCACCGGCAGGAGGGGATGAACTGCAGGTAATGATCTTGGTGGCCCAGCCCTCCTGGTGTATGTCACTGAAAGTACAAATTGGAAGCATACTATTGCTGTCAATTAAATCGAAGGTAGAGTAGGAAAAACATCGTTCCTATTGGCTGAACGACACAAGCCGCAGGCAAATTTTCTCTATGTGTGTTTTTTGTTTTTATTTTTCTCAACTAACATTGAACTGTGTCACTTTGAGCTACTCACACAACTGAAGCTTTTCCCTCTTCAGCTTGGAAGTGACTGGAATAAACGGAGGGCTCTGGTCCAAAGAGACCACAGCATCCTGGCTGTTTATAGAATCCTGGCTCAGAAGTAATGCATGCGATATCATTGTGTAGCTTGCACATTGTAAGACAGCGCTCTCCTCTGTCATTCCATCATTAGCCAGCTAGAGCTGGGGCAGACTTCACAGGCATGGTCTTCCGCAGGGTCTCCTTGGTCTTCCGCAGGGTCTCCTTACTTCACACTAGTTCTGCCAGGCCACTTGTGCCCCCCCCCCAGGAAATGTCCCACCCCCTCTCAGGTTAGAATAACTCACAAAGTTCAGGAAAGTTCTGTGATTGTACCTTTATGACAAAGGCTATCCCAGTGAAGAAGAGACACACAGGAGCTGTGTGTGTGTGTGTGTGTGTGTGTGTGTGCATGTGTGTGTGTGGTGTGTGTGTGTGTGGTGTGTGTATGTGTGTGGTGTGTGTATGGTGTGTGTGTGGTGTGTGTGTATGGTGTGTGTGTGGTGTGTGTGTGTATGTGTGTGGTGTGTGTGTGTGGTGTGTGTGTGGTGTGTGTGTGTGTGTGGTGTGTGTGTATGGTGTGTGTGTGGTGTGTGTGTGTGGTGTGTGTGTATGGTGTGTGTGTGGTGTGTGTGTGTGTGGTGTGTGTGTGTATGTGTGCATGTGTGTGGTGTGTGTATGTGTGTGGTGTGTGTGTATGTGTGCATGTGTGTGGTGTGTGTATGTGTGTGGTGTGTGTGTGTGTGGTGTGTGTGTGTATGTGTGCATGTGTGTGGTGTGTGTATGTGTGTGGTGTGTGTGTATGTGTGCATGTGTGTGGTGTGTGTATGTGTGTGGTGTGTGTGTGTGGTGTGTGTGTATGTGGTGTGTGTGTGGTGTGTGTACGTGTGTGGTGTGTGTGTGGTGTGTGTGTGTGGTGTGTGTGTATGTGGTGTGTGTGTGGTGTGTGTACGTGTGTATGTGTGTGTGGTGTGTGTATGTGTGGTGTGTGTTGGTGTGTGTACGTGTGTATGTGTGTGTGGTGTGTGTGTATGTGTGCATGTGTGTGGTGTGTGTGTGGTGTGTGTATGTGGTGTGTGTGATGTGTGTGTGTGTGTGGTGTGTGTATGTGTGTATGTGTGTGTGGTGTGTGTGTGGTGTGTGTTCAGAGGCACTGGGACACACACACATGTTTGTGTGGGGGTGTGGGGTCTCTGTGTGCAAGGGGCGGGACTTGGTGTGGGTGGAGTAGGCAGACACACCTGGTCATGTGAGAGGGTTTTCTGGTGGGCATAAGCAGGGACTGGGGTGTTAGGTGATCACCAGGCACCAGGACGGGAAGAGGGATGAGCAAGTGAGAGTTAATTTTATCAGGAGAAGCGGGGCCTGTGAAGTGGGAGGTGCCCCAGGAGAGGGGCCATGTGCTTCTAGAGGTCTTTCGTGGGACTTACACTGCAAGTGGAGGAGCTGGGGCACTCTACTGAGGCTGTCATTTTTTGGGCACAGGCCCCCACCGGTGTCCCCTGGCTCAGCTGGAGGCGGCCATGCTTTGATCGTCCGGTGTAGGCAGTGGTCACGTGTCATGGTCACCTTTGTTTATTGTCTCAGTTTGCCTTATTTAGTAGGCTGCTGATGAAATACGCTACCTTGCTTGTACTCGGCTGCATGCCTAGCTGATAGCTTACCCTAGGTCCTCACCCCACCCTTGCAGTGAGGGGGCTGACGTTGTCTCAGTGAGGTGACGTGAGCTGCCTCCTGGCACTCCATCAAAGTGTGGATACATTTTACCAAGTGACTCTCTAAATATGCAGGCGACTTCCGTAATTCCCAGAGCTGGTGCATCTAGGTAACTTTTGTCAGGTGGTTGTTACTCCTGGCACACGGAGCTTGGGTAGACACAGAAATGGCAGTGGAGTGTGTGACTGTGAAAGCATGGCACCTCCTGGTTGTCCCTTCTTCGTTCTCGCTGGGAGTAAATGTTTCTGATGTGCTTCTTTCTCTCTAGGGCATCAAAAGGGGCATAATTGAGATGGCGGATCTGGTCGCTATAACTAAATCTGATGGAGACCTGGTCGTGCCAGCCCGCAGGATCCAAGCCGAGTACGTGAGCGCACTGAAGCTGCTCCGCAGGCGCTCGGGCGTCTGGAGACCCAAGGTCGGCTTGAGCTCTTCGCTTTCCCGGGTGGACTGTGCACCTTAGGCCTCTGGCTGCACATGTAATCAGCCTTTGCTTGAGTGGGAAGACTGCACCTTGAAAACAGACAGATCTTAAATGTAATCTTTCCTAGAGTGAGGCAGTAGGCGAGAGTGCTCAGCAGTTGATGTAAACCCTTTGGGAGTGCACTGAAATCGTAGAACACTTCATGGGTTAACTATCTGAACTAGGATTGGGGTAGCAGAGAAAGGCTTGTAATGTGACGCTCCCTTCCATCCCCATTATTTCTGACAAGTTAAGAAAAAGAAGAACAACACTAGGGAGCGGTGCAGTCCCCCTGAGCGGCACCCTGTGTGCAGGAGGAAGCCATGTTAGTAAAGACTAAGCCGTAGCCATCATGAGAGCAGCAGGCCTTTCTTGACGCTGGCTTCTCTGAGGGCTCCTGTGTGGGGCGACACCATCTTCTCCATGGAGGTGTTCACTGGCAAATCTCAGACTCCCGTGAAATAACAGTTCTGGTTCTGCCTTCCCAACAGGTAATTCGCATCTCTGCCAGAAGTGGAGAGGGCGTCAGTGAGATGTGGGACACGATGAGGGAGTTTCAGCGCGTGATGCTGGCCAGCGGGGAGCTGAGCACCAAGAGGCAGCAGCAGCAGAAAGTCTGGATGTGGAATCTCATTCAGGAGAACATCCTACAACATTTCAAGACCCATCCAAGCATCCAAGAACAGATTCCTCTGATGGAGAGGAAGGTGCTCAGCGGGGCCCTCTCCCCAGGACTGGCCGCAGACCTACTGCTGAAAGCTTTTAGAAGCAAACACTAATAAACCTATCCTGTACAACCATCCACAGACTTTCCTCAGTACCTGATATCCAAACATCGCCTGTGTTTGTTTGTGATCCTTTTGTCTGTGTGAACTGTGGGTGGCGCAGTTAGGCATGGGCGTGTCTGCGAGAGGCCGCTGTGTGGGACTGGTCCCACTTTCCCTCTTCTCATGCCCTGGCATGCTGGCCCCCAGAGGAGTTTCTTCTCAGGAGCCAAAAGTGGAGGAAGCTGAGGCGGAGAGGAGAGCAAGTCTGAGGAGAGGAGAGGGAGTTTGAGAGAGGAGAGCGAGTTTGAGGAGAGGAGAGCGAGTCTGAGGAGAGGAGAGGGAGTTTGAGAGAGGAGAGCGAGTTTGAGGTGAGGAGAGCGAGTTTGAGGAGAGCGAGTCTGAGGAGAGGAGAGCGAGTTTGAGAGAGGAGAGGGAGAGGAGAGCGAGTTTGAGGAGAGGAGAGTGAGTTTGAGGAGAGGAGAGCGAGTCTGAGGAGAGGAGAGCGAGTTTGAGGCGAGGAAGTTTGAGAGAGGAGAGCGAGTTTGAGAGAGGAGAGCGAGTCTGAGGAGAGGAGAGCGAGTCTGAGAGAGGAGAGCGAGTCTGAGGAGAGCGAGTCTGAGGCGAGGAAGTTTGAGAGAGGAGAGCGAGTTTGAGGCGTTGCATCAGTTCTGTGAGTTGCCACAGGAAGCATAAGCAGGAACAACTCTATTTCTGAACACTTGAGGCAAGAGCAGTTCACACCAGTCTGAAGATTTCTCAAGTGGCCATGTTTGCTTTTAGAAACCCGTGGGGATGATGGGAATCCCGTGTTCAAAGTCCACTTGGCTGGCCTTGGAAGGCTGCTCCATGACGGGCAGACAGGAAAGGAAAGCAGCTGCAGGGGCCCGCAGTCCCAGACGCAGGTAGAGTCAGCACAGTTCAGGGTCACGCAGTCCGAAAATCACAAAGCGTTCCTACTCGTGTTTCCTTGGCTAATCTACTTCACATTGATGTACTTTTCTGTGAGGTGTGTGTGTGCGCGTGCGTGCACTCATGAACACACCCTTTGTATCACGCATGTGGTGGCAACAGATCATCTTGAGTCACTTTGAATGTGTCTATTGCTGTCCACTTTTTTTTCTTGAGACAGGGTCTTACTGTGTAGTCCTGGCTGTCCTGGAATGCACTCTGTAGACCAGGCTGGCCTCAGACTTAGAGAGGTTCACAGGCCTCCGCCTCCCGAGTGGTAGGATCAAAGGTGTGTGCCACCACTGCCCGGTCTATCCACCTTTTTCCCCCTTTTTGAGAAAACGCCTCTGAAGTCAGCAATCCAGCCTACGTGTTTCCTACCCCATCTGCAGCTTTCCAGCCGTGGATGGTGGGCACTCAGCGTGATGTCCAGCTCCTGTGTGGGTCCTGAGGGTCACACCCGGCCCTTGTGCCCACAAAGTAAGCTCTGTACCACCTGAGCTCCTCCTCAGTTGCTGGGTGTCTCTTTTCTTGCTGCTGAAGGACAAAACTGGTCCTCCAGAGGAAGCACTCCTCAGGAACCAAGGGCTTGGGCTCTAGAGTTAGGCTGTGTTTAAACTTGAACAAGACCAACTTCCAAGCCTGAACACGCACCCTAACGTGTAGGCCTCAGTCTCCTACCTGGGGCAAGAATGGTGTTAGCATACAACCCTGTATTGTTGGTGAGGACTAAATTATTCAGGAAAATCATTTCATCATGATGGCATATAGAAAATATTGTGTGCTGCTTTTATTAAAGTTGTATGTCCCTAAAGCCTTATAAACCTTATTTATAATTTAAATTTCTCCATGGTTGTATTACTACCATCATGCTCTTACGATGTTTTATGATTGCCTTTAAACTCCCATTTCCGCTTAATTCTTTGGGTGTCTTAAACTGTTTGATGGTAGTTATGACTGTGTACATTTGGGTGAAATTATTTCTATCCATAAGATTTCTCCCAAATAAAATACCATTCTATACGCTGTATTCCTAACTGTTTAGGATACTTTATACAGTGTGTCAGCTGTACTGTTTGCTACAATATGTGTTCCTAACTGAAATCAAATTTCTTGAGTGTTATTTTAACAAACACTCCTTGATGTTTCTGTAAGATCTGTGGGATTGACATCCTGTGTAGGTTATGAGAACCTTCGAGAGATTAGCCAGGAGAATTTCTTGATGAGAAAAGACCATCATTAAAAGATGTTTAGAAGCTTCCAGAGAAGCAATCTCATGATTTCCTTTAATAAACTTGCAGATTAACAGGTCTGGCCCTTGTGGTACAGTGTCAGTACCAATGGGTGCCTGCTGCATCATAAAGGAGGTAGAGGGGGCGGGGCTTTCATCAGCGCCTCATTTAGCAATGGGTTTGCTCTCTGTGTGGACGCCTTTTAAATGGCATATGCAAGTTCTGAAAACACGAGAAAAGGCCCATGCCACCCTCCTCCTGTGGTTATTGTGCCATGGGCTGTGATAGACCAATTCCTTTTTTTTTTTAATTATTTACTTAAAAGTTTTTTTTATTTTACATATTAACCACAGTTCTCCCTCCCCTCCTCCTGCTCCCCCCACCTTTCCCCCAACCCAAGACCACCATCCTGAGTAGGGGTGAGGCCTCCCATGGGGAGTCAACGAAGTCTGGCATATCAAGTTGAGGCAGGACCAGGCCTCTCCCCCCTGTATTGAGCAAGGTGGTGTCCCTCCACAGGGAATGGGCTCCAGAAAGCCCATTCGTGCACTGGAGAGACCAATCTCTAAGATACCTTTTCGAAGGTTTCTTTGGTTTGCTGTACTAAAGAGTAATATTTGTGGGGTTTCATTTCTTCAGATCTGTGCTCCATTTTTCTACGTTCAATAATCCTCTCCCTTTGCCCTCACCAGTGGTTCTACAGTGCTGGGCCTCTGGCCTGGTCAGGGCAGAGGGATTGACCTAGCTGGGTGTTGATGTAACTGCCAGCTCTGTCATGAACAGGACAAATGGGTTGCGAAAGTTGTTTTCCGTGTCTACCAATCGATCCCCTTATCTGCAGAAGTGCACTGATGGCAGCTACTGTCCGGCGCCGTGCAGAGACCTGAGTGAGAAACTGAGGCAGCTGGCGTGCAGTGGCAGGCAGTGTTCTAAATATTTCCTCTCAGATGGGCCAGTCTGCTTATTCCCCACAGACATCATTTCCTCTCAGATGGACCACTCTGGTTATCTCCTCAGTTTTCCCACTGTGGAAATGGCAAGAGTGTGATGGTCCTATTGTCAATTCGATGACTTTTTAACCACCTAGGAGACACATCTCTGGGCGTGTATTTGAGGGCATTTCCAGAGAACTTTTACTGAGGACGACACTAAATGTGAATGGTACTGTCCCTCGGGCTGGGTCTGAAACTGAAGAAAGAAGGGGAGGCAAGCTACTTGAGCAGTCTCTTGTGCTCGGGCCAGCGGCTCCCACGGCTGGGAGTCACAACAGACCCTTCACCCTTGAGTTACTTCTTGTCAGTTATCTTTCTCATAGCAATGAGACAGTTGCTAACGGGATGCTACCAACCCGGAGCTGTGCGTGTGGCACCTGGACACGATGAGCGCTGCACACTGGAGAATGAATAGAAGTTACTTCTTAGGACAGTGTAAGGGTGCATGAGCATAGACTTCCTCTACCCTAAAATCATGCTTATTTTTGACAGGTTAGTTGCATTAGTCAAAAATATAGCTATCCAGGCTGGAGAGATGGCTCAGAGGACTTGCAGAGGACACAAGTTCAGTTCCCAGCACCCACAGTTAGGATCCAATGCTTTCTTCTGTCCTTGGATATCAGACATGCACATAATACATACATACATACATACATACATACATACATACAATACATACATATATATACATGCAAGCAAAACACACACACATTTTTATAACAACAATGTGAAGGGGGACAATCTGGGCGTAGTGGCTTCCACCTTCAGTCTTAGGACCTTGGAAGCAGATGCGGGAGGATAAAGCAGACTAGAACATTCAAGAACCATGGGAAAACATCAAAATACGCTACATAAAAGTTGTGGATTCCAGGAAGGAGGGGGAGGAGGAGAAGAAGAAACCCATTTCCGAAATCCCTGTTAAAATTAAATTGGTTTTGGAGGCAAGGTTTCTTTCGCCTGGCCTGGACTCAAGCCTGCACACTTCTTGTCCTAGACCGTGGATTGCAGCCACCATGCCTGGCTCTCCACCGAATGCGTCTCACGGCACTGATATAGTTCGGGGACAGCATTGAAAAGGTTGAGCAGCTTGAGTGACCATTAAACATTAGTATCGTCCTCTGGGCAGGACAGAAAATGGGGCCCATTGAAGTTTCCCCTGCTGACCAATAACCAGGACGTGTCGCAGCTATGTTTCTTTCTACTTCATTTCCTTGGTTAGTTGATTACTAAATGTAACACCTTTTTTAAATCCTACTTAAAGTAAACACTGAATGACAGTCATTGTCCCATGAAGCTCAAATAAGGCTTTGGCTGATTTATTTGCTTGTCATTTATGGTATGTTTTATAAAATGTAAATAGCATAAGCAGTTGGACTGGACGTGATAGGGTTATTTGAGAGAGTAAAATGTGTATGACATGGGTTAAATAAATATTATACCTGAACATGTGATAGTACAAGGTCACCTCGGGACAATTGATTTTGTTGTTCACTTCAGCCTCCTGAAAGAAGGAAATGAAAGTGTGTATAAACCAGAAAACTACTCTCCTCTTAGCAAGAACCAATGTGTAACTGCTGTTATTTTATCCATCACAAAACAAACCATGTGACATCATTATCAAAAGTATGGAGAAAAGTCTGCAGAAAGCTATCTAGAAGAGTAATAAAGCCCCTTCCCAGCCTCATCCCTGTGTGCCTTGCTCTAGGCGGGATGCAGATGTTTCAAGGGTCAACTTCCCTTAGGATGCAGCAGCATCAGCAGGTGTGGTGGTCTGAATGAGAATGCCCCCATAGGCTCATATATTTGAATGCTTAGTCACCAGGGAGTGGAACCGATTGGGAAGGATTAGGTGGTGTGCACTTGTTGGAGTGGGTGTGGCCTTGTTGGAGGAGGTGTGTCACCAGGGGTGGGCTTTGAGGTTTCAAAAAGCCACACTGGTCTCAATCTCTTTCTGCCTGCCGCCTGTGGATCAGGTGTAAAGCTCTCAGCTGCTTCTCCAGCACCACGGCCACCTGCCTCTCTTCCTGCCAAGATGATCACGGACCAACTCCCTGAGATTGTAAGCAAGCCCCTAATTAAACGCTTCCTTTTGTAAGAGTTGCCTTAGCCATGGCGGTTTCCCAGCAATAGAACAGTGACAGAGATGCAGGCATAACCAAGTCTTGCTCTTCGGTAGTTCTACATGCAGGAACCTCACTGTTCTCTGCAGAAAAATTTCCTCACAAAACCACAAATACAAGCCAGCTCTCATAAACAATGCTCAGTGGCTGGCAGTCCTTCATTTTCTGATAGGATCGCTTTGGGTTAAATCATGAGCTCCCCCAAACAATAGCGCCCCCATTTTACAAAAGGAAAATCAAGCATAAGAGATGTTAGAAAATAAATCTCAAGTTACTGTTCCTAAAAGTGATGCATGGTCCATACTCAATTCAAATAGTACCATTTTAGAAGTTGTAAGCACTTGGTGAATTTTATTTTATTCTTTCTATAAGTCAGTTCAGTGACAGATACCTGCATTTATAGACACTTCCGTGGTACAGCGTGGATATGGGAAGGTCCTCAGTATTTTCATTTTAAGTCCTTTCTTCTTCAACTTAGGGTTCTCTTTGCCATTTTGCAGAAGTGTGCCTTGAGGTATTTTTCTGTTGATTTTCCTGCTTATGCTGGAAGATAACACTTTTGATGTTAGGAACCAACCTCAAACAAGACAGAAGCCCATTCTGTCAGCTTCTGTATCACGTGGGCATCTTGTCTAGAAATGGCACGTGTAATAACCAGAGAGAATGCTGGCTTGTCTAACTACACAGGGAGATGGGGGGAAGGACAGGCTCCGTTAAGAGCACAAATCCCGCAAGGCTTTTCCTTGCAACCCCATCCTCTGCCTTCTGGCTCCCATTCCCTGGATTCCTCCACGTAGCTCAAGATAGGCAGCCCGCAGCACCTCGCAGAGGAAGGACGCCCCCATCTCAGAGTCAAGGCTGAGAACTCAGGGAAGCACTCAGACTGGCTTACCTGACAAGCTTGGGGTCTCTAGCAGGTGTGTGGGTTCTGCGAGTGACAGGAGACACTTGGATCTGGGGAAAGACTGCTTCCCAAGGTGTGTGATCACAGAGAAGAGCAGGGCGCCAGGCAGACTGGACAAACGCTAGAGCTCTGAAACCATGAGCCAAAATAGTCTTTCCTTCATTTAAGCTGATTTCTCAGACCCATTGTTTGTTTCAGTTCCTGTTACACATAAATGTGTTCAGATTTCAACCCCGAACCATAAAAATCCTGAAAGGCAAGAGAAAAACAGTGTGAGCAGACAGGGTGTGAGCAGACAGGGTGTGAGCAGACAGGGTATGAGCAGACACCGTGTGAGCAGACAGGGTGTGAGCAGACAGGGTGTGAGCAGACAGGGTGTGAGCAGACACCGTGTGAGCAGACAAAGCCACTGTCAGAACTGGATTCAGACATGGCATGAATCAGAAAGATCACACTCACACGGGGATTTAAAAGAGTTGTGACTAGTGTGCTAAAGAAAAATAAACAGGACGTGAGCAGAGAGTCAGACTCCATGAAGCACTTAAAAGGAAAGCTACACTAGAACGAACACTAACAAAAAAAAGGCTGCCTTTAGTGGCCCATCCAGACTGGCATGGTTGAGAACTGCCATCCAGGAGCTTGAAAACCAGTCGCTTGGAAAATTTATAAATGAAAATGAAACACAAAAAGACGATAAGGCAGAATAGCACCATGGGAAGAACCATGGGAAAATAACAAAATATGCTACGTACAAGTTGTGAATTCCCCGAAGAAGAAAGAAAAAAATAAAACAAAATATTAGAAATAAGAATGCTTTGGTATGAGCCAAGACTAATGACACCAAACCACAGATCCAGGAGCACCAGAGAACACTAAGCCAGACAGAAATCAAATAAACAAAATCAAAGCCAACAAAGAAATCCGCACACGCAGTCACACCACATCCAAACTGCTGGAACCCACACCTGAACCGATGGAGTCAGGGTTTGCATGAGATGAGAGCCACCACTGCCTTGGTCACGGTCTCTCTCTCCCTTTTTCCATACAATCTTAGACTTGATTTTCTTATGAACATCAAAGACCCAGCTAGCTGCAATTTAATACTTTAGATTTTGGTTCCGGATTTTACATTCTTACTCAGTTTTAGGAGGCACTAGAGGTCCCAGGGGACGAGATTAAATAGAGGTTGTTCAGAATCAAGAGCTCACCTCAGTCTACGTGGATGAAATGCGCGTCCAGCATGACTGTGGCCCCACTCTTCACCATGAGCAGTTTGCAGGGCTGTTTATTCTGAGTCTGTGGTGAGCCAGGCAGTGATGTTTGCTTCCGCCTGAATCACTTGGTAGATAAGGAGCGATTTTTTTAAGCCGTAAGTAGTACTCTTCTGTTTTTTTTAAGTGGCCTTTCTATTGGATGGTGGTATTTGGATATGAAAGTGTCCTCCATGGACTCCTATGTTTGGACACTTGGTCCCGAGCTGATGGTGCCATCTAGGAAGGTTATGGAACCTTAGAGGGTGGAGTCCTGGTAGAGGAAGTGCTTTACTAGGGCGGGAGTTGAGGTTTACGGCTGGTCCAATTTGCTGTGCGCTCTGCTTCCTGTGTGGGATACAATGTGATGGGTGGGCTAGCTTCCTGCTCCTGCCCCCATGGCTTCCCTGTCTGTTTCCACGTCTGCCTCACAGCAATGTGGGATGTGCTGTGGGGTATTTGTACACTGTGTGAAAATGTATTGTGATTGGTGTAATATAAAGCTAAACAGCCAAGCAGGAGGTATAGGCAAGACTTTTAGGGAGAGAGAGAGAGAGAGAGAGAGAGAGAGAGAGAGGGAGGGGGAGGGGGAGGGGGAGGGGAAGAGGGAGAGAGAGAGGGAGAGAGAGAGGGAGAGAGAGAGGGAGAGAGAGAGAGAGAGAGAGAGAGAGAGAGAGAGAGAGAGAGAGAGAGAGAGAGAGGGAGGGGGAGGGGGAGGGGAAGAGAGAGAGGGAGAGAGAGAGGGAGAGAGAGAGAGAGAGAGAGAGAGAGAGAGAGAGAGAGAGAGAGAGAGAGAGAGAGAGAGAGAGAGAGAGAGAGGAGAGAGAGGAAGACGAGAGAGCATTAAGCGGGCAGGGTCTGTCCTTTAAAGGGGTCCTTTGCACCTGCATACAGACTGGTTCTCACAGAGCTCTGGGCTGGCCGGAGCACTGCCTGAGTGCATTCTGCCAGGCGACAGGGCAGGCCAGCGTAATGCCTGAACCCTTCAGTTTACAACGTGCAGATTGTCATGCCACAGGTCTCCAGAGCCACCTCAATCCTGAATGACGGTATTCACCACTGTGGTTTGAATGTGTCCCCCAACTTGTGTTCACTGCGATGCTCTTCAACGTACAGTCAGATTGTATGCAAATAAAATCATTGTAAATTGAAAACATTGTTAAGTATTCTAGTCAGCAAAGAGTTGTTACTATAACAGAATACCTGATGTAACACAAGACAGAATGTTTATTTAGCTTCCAGTTTGGGCAGTTGGGAAGCATGGTGCCCATGACTGCCTGGTAAAGGCAGCAGATGGTAGTCCCAGGAGCACATGCTGCCGTGAGCACTCAGATTTCAAGGCCAGAAGCAAAGTGAGAGACTGGGTCCCGCATTGCCTAATGAGGGTGTGCCCACTAACATAAGGCCTCACCTGCGTCTCCCAATGCCACCACCCTGGATCCAGCAAGAAGTCAAATGCATTTGATGTCAGCCACCAAGAATCACGCCTTTCCTGTGCTCAGGATATACAGTATTTTAAATATAATTTATTTATTTTATGTTCATTGATATTTGCCTACGTGTATGTCTGGGTGAAGGTGCTGGTTCTTTTGGCATTCTGGCATAATGCTGGCCTGTCCTCTGTCAGCTTGCAGGATGTGTTCACCAGCATTCAGGCAAATACTGAGTCAGCCCAGGGACTCTGCAGCGTAGGTCACTGTGTCCTGTGCCACAGAGGCGAAGGTGCAAGACTGTCAGACATGCGCAGAGGTAAGACACGATGACACCAGAGACACCCACACACCCAAGACTGTCAGACATGCGCAGAGGTAAGAAACAATGACACCGGAGACATCCGCACACCCAAGACTGTCAGACATGCGCAGAGGTAAGACACGATGACACCAGAGACACCCACACACCCAAGACTGTCAGACGTGCCCAGAGGTAAGAAACAATGACACCAGACACACACACAGCCAAGACTGTCAGACGTGCCCGGTCGTAAGAAACAATGACACCAGACACACACACACCCAAGACTGTTAGACGTGCCCGGAGGTAAGAGACAACGACACTGGAGACATCCACACACCCAGCCTCAGAAAGAAGACTCACAGAACAGACTTCAATGCCACTCTTTACTATTACCGCCCTCAGAAATTAAGCATCTGAGTCTCCCGGGTATCAAGGTGATGCCATCATGACAGGGAGGGAATGGGTGCTTTAAAGTTTGCTTACATAAAGATAAAAATCAAATTGGTGATAAGAAGGAAGAGACTTGGGGTGTAGAAAAGAATGAAGCATGTTCCAGATTCCTCTTTCGCTGTAGCTATGTTACCGTCCAAACGTAAACACTAACTGATAGGATTCTGATGAGCCGCTGGTCTAGCCTTGACAGATTACTACCCACTATACTATAACACTGTATTATCACAGCCACAAGCTCAGAATTTTAAATTCCGTTTTTAATGCATATAAAACTTATCTTTCCACAAACTCCAAGTATTCTTGTAAGTTCCAGGACCATGAGGAGCACCTTACAAGGTCCAAGGGGCACACAGTTCCACAGAGTCAGGACGCAGCAGTGACATGACCAGCTACTCCAGGACATGGCTGGTCCCCAGTTTTCTCAGATCGCCCAAGATTCCGACGCCCTGGGTCAGTTGGAAGCAGTTCTGAGAACTCATCCCTGTCCCACCCACTATCCGCTTTAACCCCTCACCTTTTTATAATAAGCAAAAAGGTAGGGATGTTGGCATTCAGGCATAGTGCTGGCCTGCCCCCTGTCAGCTAGCAGAACGCATTCACCAGCATTCAGGCAAAAGCTTAGTCAGCCCAGGGACTCTATGGGAGTACGTCACAAGATCATGCACTACGTGGCTACCCCATGCCCTGCATGGCTGTGTAAAACTCTGTATGCATGTACAGAGGGTCCCTTTTAAGCAAGCTCTACCTGCCCAGCGCTCTTAAATGCTGAGTCATCCCTCCAGCTCCAGGGTTTATACTATTAACAGAGTCACCCTCATATTTACAATAGCCAAGGTGCACAACCAGCACACAAGGTGCACGCAAACACACAAGTCTTTCACTTATGGATTTAGGGGTGAAAAACAGATGAAGGCGGGGGGCATTAGAGAACAGGAAAGAGCTAGTGGGTAAGAGGAAGAGAGTGGGTGTGTGTGACTGTGACCAAGGTGCATTCTGTGCATTATGAAATGTTACAACAAGCCCATTACTTCCCACAATTACTAGGTGCTAATACAAATTTGATCCGATAGTAGTGAGACTGAATCGGTGCGTGTCAACCCTGGCTCGGGTGCAACTGTGGATTAGCACGCCCGCCGCTAGACCGTTGGCCGGCTCTGCTAAAGTGAACTCACCATGAACATAGCTCCTGTGAGATCACCACCTCCCACACACAAACAGCACTGAAGGGTTGGTCCCAGCCCTGCAGTGCTTAATAAACAAATGAATGAATGAGTAGAATTGAATGGTTTCTGTTGTTGTTGTTTTTGCTTGTTTGTTTGTTTTGTTTTTCGAGACAGGGTTTCTCTGTATTGTTTTGGAGCCTGTCCTGGGACTCTCTCTGTAGACCAGGTTGACCTCGAACTCACAGAGATCTGCCTGCCTCTGAGTGCTGGGATTAAAGGCGTGCGCCATCAGTGCCTGGCAGAATTGAATGTTTAATCCGCGTTTAATCTGCAAGAATCCTAAAGGAGCCCATGCTCACTCTTTGCTCATTTGTCATCCGCATTCTCGGACACTGGCATCTGGCATTGATTTGCACGGTCTGACTTCAGCATTGGAGTCTTCACTAAAAACTTCCCTCCGGGGCTGGAGATGTGGCTTGGCGGGTAAGGTGCTTGCCGCGCAAGCCTGATGACCCGTGTTCCATCCCCAGAACCCATGTAACACAAAACCCACTTTCTAACAAGTATCTTAAAACCCCATGGTCTGCTGAATACTGAAACTGAAGAGCGCCATGGGAACTTCCGCACCATCCTAATGTCTGAAACTTAGAAGACGAACTGTCCCGCATGGCCGGCAAGGAGAAGTCAAATGTCAGCCTGTGAGGGCTCTGGGTTATTACATGAATAGAGTCCTTAGAGAAGGATGGGTTTGACTCTTACCAGTGTTCTACCCCCTTCCCTCTGCCCTCCTTTGTTTATTCTCTGCCATGGAATGATGCAAAAGAAACCCTTTCCCACATGACCTTTTCTCCTGGGACCTTTGGCTCCCTGACCTCCAAGATTGCAAACCAATAAGTTTCTGCTCATTATAAGCTACTCAGCCTGAGGTTTCCTGTTGCAACAGCCAAAGCGCACTAAGTTACCCACTAACAACTCCGTTCTCCTCCTAGCCCCTGGCAACCGCAGCTCAACCGTCTGGCTCCCCTGGCGGAAGTGGAAGGAAACGCAGCGGTGTCCTTCCGTGTCTCATTTAAGACGCTATCTCTGAGGTCTGACCGTTCTGTGCACACGGTAGTTCCCCTCTTTGTTAGACTGAGCAGTGTTTCTTTACATGTGTGTCATTCATCTGTCAATGGATATTTAAGTGGCTTCTACCGCTTGGCTATTATGAATAATACTGCAATTGTGAATTAGTGTGGGATGGACAAATAAATACTCCTCTGAAATCTTATTTTCAGTTGTTTTTGGCTATATTCCCAGAAGCAGGATTGCTGGGTTAGTGTGGTAGTTTAATTTGTTTTGTTTTGAGAAACCTCTATGCTGTATTGTAATGAGTCCCTTTCTGTCCAGCCGGCTCCTAAGTAATGGCATGGAGACTTCTTATTAGTCATGAAAGCTAGGCCTACGGCTTAGGCTTGTTTTTTAACTAGCCCCTGTAACTTAAATTAACCCATTTCTGTTCATCTATGTGCTTTCATGTCCATCCTGGTTCCTCCATGCCTCCTCACCCCTCTTCCTCTTCCTCTTCCTCTCTCCCCGGAAGTCCTTCTTGCCTCTCCTGTCTAGCTATTGGATGTTCAGCCTTTTATTACTCCAATCGCAGCAAATGCATCCTCACACGGTGTACAGACATCTCACAACACTGTCTCATGTAGTAAAAACACAATCTGACTCTCCATAATAGCGCTCTCAGACTCCAACCTCCATGTCATAGACACCCCATTACTTTCTGCTTTTTAGGATGGCTACTCCATGAGGCGCATGGTGCTACCTTACCACAGATTGGTTGCTTTTGTTTGTTTGCTTGCTTGTTTTTCCAGACAGAGTCTCTCTACATAGCCCAGGCTGTCCTGGAATTCACTACAGAGACAAGGCTGGC